ATCTATCTATCTATCTATCTATCTATCTATCTATCATTCATCTGTCTGTGTGTCTGTCTATCAACCAACCAATCAATCAATCATCTATCTACTGGGAGAGTTCTACGGTTCCTGATTCCTACTATAGATTAATAGATATGGTTGCATTCTGTAAATAATTTTCTAAGAATAGAATCTGCAACTTACAGCTGTTGTCCACAAAAGCTTTCAAGTAGCTTTGTTAGATTAGTCACTGTATATCCATGCACATTCTATTTTTCATTAAAAAAAGCATTTCCAGTTCTGATAGCACCAGGACTAGAACTGAAATTATGATTAATCTTTATATTGGAGAGGGGCAGTGAGGAGGCTGAATAAAGTAGGAATGTGAAAAACTTGCACACTGGGAAATGTTTTAGGCTTCTAAAAATCGCAAATGAACACTGGAAGTGATAACTAACATCTGCCTGCAGCTCGAAACCATATTTTCTCTTTTCTCAGGATGTCATTTAAAGATTTCAAAGACAATTTTTCATCCTTGTTTGTTTGCAACAACACGCCCACATTCCTGGATTTTGGTGAGGAGAGCAATACTTCTTGGTCTGTGGTTAAATATATCAACCAATTCTCTCCAGAAGGGAGCAACTATCTAAGTAAGTAGTCTCAGGAAATGAGCTGATATCCTAAACCGTTTTTGTAGGAGTATCTTGTTTAGCAATATTCTAGTCATATGGCAGATCTGGAGATAGGTAACTTTTTGTCCTGAATGTAATAGAAATGATAGTCTGTGTAGTGTCTCTTGAGTTTTGATTCAGATTACAGGTAGTCTTCATTGCCAATGGTAATTGGGACTGGGAACTCTATCACTAAGTGATGTGGTCGTAAGGCGCGACATCACACGACCATGTCAATTTATGACGGCAGTTCTGGCAGTCCCAGTTGCCGTGGTTAGATGAATCCTGTGCAGTCGTAGCTTCCTGCAGTCATGGGATTGCCATTTGCCAGTTTCCCCACTGACTTTGTTGGTTGGAAGCCTCAGTGAAGGTTGCAAATGGTGATCATGTGACTGTGGGACACTACAACATTGTAATTGTGAGCTGGTTGCAAAGCGTCCAAATAGCGATCGTGTGGCCATGAAGACACTGCAACTGCTGCAATTACAAGGACTCGTCGTGAGTAACCCTCATTCAGCGCCGTTCTAACTTTGAATGGTTGTTGAATGAATGGACGTTAAACGAGGACTACCTGTATTTAGAACAACATTTAAAACAAACATCAATAGGGCCAATTAGAATTGGCTTGGATTTCTAGACACGCTAAAAATAATAACAACAATAATAATTATCATCATTTTGATTGATTATGTGCCATCAAACTGCTGTTGACTCTTAGCAACCACATCATTGTAGGAGAGACAAAATGTAAAGCAGGGACTTCTTAAATCATAATTCAGTCTTTTGCAATGCAATTATATTCACGTTTACACAGAAGTAACACCCATTAATGTCTCTAGGGCTTATTCTTAGGCAAATGAGAATTGCAGTCTTAGCTATCTTTATATTATCTCCAAGTATTTGTCATTTATATTTAGATTTGCTATTTACTTTGGAAATATAGGAATAACATTTCACATGCAAGTGTTCATCATTAAAAATATTTATATATTGTATACAACATGAAATATATATTCCACAGCATTGCTATTCTTTAACAAAGATTAGTTTACTCAAGGTTAATAAATGGTCTTCCATTTAATCAAGCTTATGACATTTACAACACATGAATGTACAATCTGTGTGTATCCACCTTGATGTAAAGCGGATGCACATGGATTATACATTCACATGTTGTGAATTTAATGGAGCCAGAGCTTTGCACAGAGAATATCCCTGTTCTAATTTCTGAAATTTCCAGTTAGCTGGGGCTGGGAGGCTGTCTCCAGTCAATGGAGAAAATATTGAGCTTGATGGGCCAGTGGTCTGTGTCAATATATGGTAGTTTTCTGTGTTACTATTCCTTGGCAAGGTTACTGAGAATTGCATGCTTCATTTCAGCAATGCTACAGTATCACACATTACTGTTCAAAGGGATATTGTGGCTTTATCACAATATATTTCCATGATGCTTATTAATCAGAACTGATTCTACCTCCTAGATAAGATAACATTATTCTTACATACATGCATATGAGAACTTCTCAAAATTGTAACTGCTAATGGAATGCCTGATCTCCTCTGATAGCATTGGGTAGTGGCCTGCTAGAGCAAAATACCAACTGGAAGGTGTTGCATCCATTTGCCTTTATCTAAAGACCTTGTATATATATGAATGTGTTACATCAGGTAATTGTAAAATAGAAGATGAGAATGAGGGAAGGTCTTAATCAAGTCTGAGTTGTGTTATGATGTCTGATAATCCACAATAGGTGCTCTTTCAAGAAATCATCAATATTCCATCAAAATTCCAGAGTTTATGATGAGAAGAGACAACGTAGTAGTAGCATTGACACAAACACCTGCAAATAATTCACAGAAGCTGGTGCCTATAGGTTACTGCATAGAAAAGGTAAGTGTGAAATCCTGCTCCCCACTTCCTGCCCCCATGGCACACTTTGGGCCATGGAAGTGACATGATTCACCTGAACTAGGAGATGTTTTTCCTTTTTTGAAGCCTCACCAGCTACTGACTATGCCAGAAGTGGCTTCTGTACATACACACTTATGCAAAAGTCTCTTCTGTTTTCTTGAATTGCCAGCTAAAGATTCAAAGCAGTGCAACATTAGGGGGGAACGAAAAAACTGTTCCTTCTTTCACTGGGGAAAAAGGAGAAGAGGAATCCTAGAGGCGAGAAGGGTGATGAGGCAAGAGTTCCCATCAATGAGAAGCTGTCCCATCCTGCCATTCTAAAGGAAGCATTGCAAAGCTGTCTAGACGTTTCATCTGAGGGAAGCTGGGGCAATTCACTATCAGAGTTATGGTTCAGTCTTCCTTGAGCAGTCATATCCTGACAGAGTTAGGAGGAGAGTTAAGAAATGGTGCCAAACGTGGATTGGTGCTGTGATTACAAGTAGACCTCATCTAGCGACAGCAATTAGGACTGGCAACTTGGTCATTAAGTAAAGCAGTTGCTAAGTGAAACTGTGACTGTGCTTATGGTCTTATGTCAGCTTTCCTTTGTTTTTTGGACCTGCAAAGGTTGTAAATGCAGGGATTGATTACAAAGTTACTTTTTCATCACTGCTGTAACTGTGAATGGACATTGTCTGAGGCAGTCACTAAACAAGGGCTACCTGTATAGACTCTGGTCTTCTGACAGTTTGGTCTAAATCAAGATATCACTTTTTTCTGTGGTGTACCAGGCAAAGAACATTTAAATTTAATTGCAATAACTTTCTAAAAATCCACTTCAAGCATCACTGAAAAGAAGTGCTCTTCTGAAACTTTGCACAGCCCTACCAGTTTCCTGTTAGTTTTTGCTTTCCAACTGCTTAGCTTTCATTGTGTTTTCCTCTGTTAGAAGGAAGGAGGCTATATCCTCCCAAAATGGGCGGCAAGCAGGATTGTTGAGAGGGGGAGAGAAACTTTTCACTACCCTTATCCTAAAACAAGCTTCAACATCCTTCTTCCCAACCCCACCAGCAGTCCTGTCTAGAGAAAGCAAGGAGGCTATGTCTGGAAAGAGAAACTGTGTGTGTGCACATATGTGTGTGTGCATTTATACTGGCTGCCTCCATGACTGTTTTCCTTTGTAGCAATCTTACCCACTGAAGTAGCCTCTGAAGAGATTTATAATGAAGGATACAACCTCTGCTCTAGAAATGTTCCCTGACTTAGTCTTTTAATCTACTTCTACAGACCTCAGGATACTTCTCTGTGTGTTTATACCTCCCGTTATTTCTGAGTAGCCCTGTCTGATTTTGCAAACCCAGTAAAAACCTCAACTACTGTTCATTTTGAGAGCGTCAGTTGTTTAAGCTCATTTATAGCAACTCCTGTAGAGAGTCAGATCTGAATTAAATCTTTATAGCCTAGTCTGTGAGACTGTCTGCAAATCTGTAGTTATTTCAGCTTCATATGATTCTCAAAAAGATAAATTGTCCATTTCTTGGAGGTTGAAATGTTCTACATGTGCATGCAAATATTCCTAGGAATAAGAATTTGACTTTAGCAAGGATTAGTGGAGGAGGTTTTATAACTATTACAGAAAGGGCATTTATTTACAAGAAATACATTAGAGAGATAGGCAAAACTTAGCACTTAGCCAGCTACAGCCTACCAGGAGAATTCAAGAGGAGGCACTCTCTGTGCATGCAGAAAGAAGTGACTTCAGATTAACAATCTCTTAGACAAACTGCCTGCAGAATGGTAGACAAGGAGGAGCACAGAGTAAATCCTTAACTAATAAAAGAGATATGTGCAGCTCAGGGTTGAACTGTGGAGTCCTTGGGGTTCTCCAAGCTTGGCTGTTTTCTTGCAAACGTTTCATTACCTAGCAGTGCTAGGACATAAGATGTTACCTAGCCCGGTAACGAAACATTTGCAAAGAACAACCAAGCTCAGAGAACCCCAAGGCCTCCACAAATCTTTAACTCTCTAGCTACGTTGCACTGCCCCCTTGTGGTTAGCAGGTCCTGAAGGGTAAATTTGCACTTCCAAGACTTAACTGCTGGACTTCACCAAACGTGCAAAAACCCAAGCTCTAAATATAAGATTGTAAAACTTGTCACTCACAAAAGAGACAAAGCCTACATCTTTACTGGGGGGCAGGGCGTATATAATGGTACCTGCATTTGTTTGGTTTTTCTTCTATATAGATCTAACAACAAAACATTTTAATTGGCAGTTACCAATGAATTATTGATATCCATTCATTTGGATAGCACTCCATTGTGTTTGGAAATACAATATTTCATTACTGCATTATCTAAATGATTAATTTCCTTATAATTACTTTTGTTAAGGATTTTTAAAAAATCCTTAAAGGCATGATATGACAGTAGTAGATTTTAAAAAATCAGCTATTTAAATCATACAGATATTTTTAAACAGCTGCTATAAAACTAATAGAAGGGGCTTCATTGAAAACCACATAGATTTTGAGGAAACCAAGAGCACCCTTGACAAGGAGATTAAAGAATCAATAGAAATAAAATCTTGCACATGAAATGAACTAAGAGAGGTATTAACAAAGTTTCATGTTGTTCTGTGTGCTTATATATTAAATTATAACAACGTGATTCTAGAAAAGTTTGCAAGAAAGAGAAAGAAAGAACCTGCACAGAATAAACAGGAAATGTTTTCTGATCCAAGAAGTTGTAATTAGCATTAAATAATTAATTGGACAATCAATAGAGTTAATTTATTCATTAAGCACAAATTTAAAATGTGTGATTTTAATTAGTTTTTAACTGGACTATCTCCTAAAAGGATCTTTGCTACTGATAGTGTTCTTATAATATGCCACATCTGGGGTTTCTAGACCAATTCAGGTTTTTCCCCAAACCACTGTAACCAGCCTATACTAAATTATAGTTTAGGCTTACTATTTGGGAGAGTACTACAATAAAATACTAGGAAAGCCCTTTGAAAGTCCTGTGACAGAAGGGAATTATTATAAACAATAGTTTGTGTGAATAGACCCAGTATATATACAAACAAGGTGTGTTGGCTTATCCATGCTAATCAAGAATCTCACAAAAATAGAGTCCCCCATCACATATATAGAGCTTTCACATACGTAGATTTGAGATATATACCTGGGTCTGCTTTAGATTATCATCTGCATTAGAGGAAGAGAACTATTTTTCAGCCTGAATTTCCAATTCCATATTTGGAAATCTTCCAGGACCCAGGTGTCTCCAAGGGGTAAGGCCAGGAACATGAACATGGTCAATATCAATGTGTGCAGGAACAGAATAATCTCATACTGTGTTGTTCTTAGAACTTCCAATACTTCTTCTGCAAGACTGAACATAGTTATTCTGCATTAAAAGAGCCACCTAATATTCAGCAGCCCCCTGGCAATTTTTTTTTTAAAGCCAAAAATCACTGCAATGATCTCCCAGTCACTGGAAAAAATGCACTTCCGAGAGGAATAATATTGTCCACTTCCAATATCAACTGCAGTTTGCATGTTTGTCTGGGTTGGACCATAATGTTTCATGCAGTGGTCTGAACTTTTAGAGAGTATGGTTCATTGCTACCAAAAGCCTTGTTACCCCAATCTTGTTTCTACCACATGTATAAAGTTTGAATAGATTGTCACATAATGAGAGGGCATATCAATGCAGATGGGATCATAAGTAATGAAACCAGCATTAGCATGCATTCATCTATAAACCCCATTCTTCCTTCTTAGACTATATAATATTGTCACCATTCCTTTGAGATAAGAAATGTCTTTTCTTGCACCATTATACAAATAATAAATCATACAATTATAATCAAGATCAGCTCAGAACTGATGATAGCAGTGCCACCTCTGCCATGACCACACCAGTAATTTCCACAGGCATAGTAGCACATGGCATCTTGTAAGAACACAAATTGGATCGCTGACATTCATTGCATGTGTCATCCTAACTAGTAAAAGCCCTTTTGGATCAGAAGAAATATCTATATATCTATGTCTATGTCTAGATATAGATATAAATATATAAAAATAAAAACAACACTATTAGCACTAAGTGGGGTGAGAGGGGCAGCATTCTACAACAAGGGAAGAATAGTGGTAATTATAATATGACAGATACTTATTCTCAAATTGTATGCTTAATGTGCTTTTCTTCTCTTCTATTTCAGGATGAGCTACAGGTATATACCCTCTACTTTTCCCTGAATTATCTGTGTGTGTGTGTGTATGTGGATGTGTGTGTGTGTGTGTGAGGGTGCACTTTCGAGTCAGTGTTGACTCTTGGCAGCTGCCTGAACAAGTTTTCTTGAAAAGATTTCAGAAATGGTTTGCCTTTGCCTCCTTCCTAGGGCTGAAAAAGAGTGACTGGCCCATGGTCAGCAAGCTGGCTTTGTGCCTTAGGTGGGACTAGAACTCACAGTCTCCCATTTTCTGGCCTGGTGCCTTAGACCCTACACCATACTGGCTCTCTGAATTATCAGTAATTCGGTTCAAAATTTTCATCAGATCAATAACTATTCCCAAGAGAAAAGGTGGTATCTGAGGCTGAGTGATAATGGCTGTGCTGTGATGAACTAAAACATGATGATGTTGATATATTTTTATATTGCTTCCTATACAAAATCATGTTAGAGCTGTTTACAAAATATTACATACACAAGAAAATCAATTAAAAACAGTATAAATGTATATATTATAAAAGGCAGGAGGGGGCAGGGGGATGAGGAAAACATAAATGAAAGAGAAGCCATTCATCCAATATTCATATAAAGAAATTTTGGAGTTTTTTCCCCCATTCTTACAATAGCCTGCTTGCATCAAGACAGTTATAAAGCATAAGATGCTTGGTTAAAAAACATCCTATTATAAAGGCTTCTCAGTATCTAGGACAAAAGAAATGGTTATACATAACGGATTCCATTTGCTTAAAAAGAGTTGTCCCTATGTAGGTTTATTGAAATTTTAATCCATCATGTTTTGAGTTCAAACACTTCCTGTGCTCCCCTTTTAAAAAATGGTTTTTTTCCCCCCTTTCTTTTTTGCAAGATAGCAGTTTGTGTTCTTTTTTTTTTCAGCCCAAAGGCATGGCTCATAAATTATTGTGCCACTCTGTGTAACCATTCTAAATGGGATTTATACACTCCAGTGTTTTTGTAAGAATTTGTTTAGTCAGGGTTTTTATTATGTTGTCTTTATATGTCATCCCAGTAATAATGGTTGTATTTTATTTATTGTTACATCTTGTTGAAAATATTGGAGCCACAGGAAATATGGCACAGTCAAATATTTTGTTATAGGAATGGATTTGATACAAGGTTCAGAATGTTCATGACAAGCCCCAAGATGCAGATACAATCTCCACTCTAAATATTTTCCATTCCTCTTGTTAATTCTGCAATATCTTCCAAAAAATACAGGTAGTACAGTCTTACGCATAATTATTTGAAAGTTAGCCCCATTTATAACAAATGAATCTCACTGTCAAATAAGTATTCATGCTTTTGTTGTAGATCTCCATGAAACCTTGACAATCCACTGCCTTTTCATTTTTTCCCCTGAAAATGAAGAAAATGCAAGTTGGGAGAGTTAACAATCTTCCAAAGGAGATTAAATCTTATCTCGCGTACTTACTGTCAGTTGGTGAATATGTATGTGTGTGTGTATGTGTATCAAGTGAGGATGCAAGTTAATATTTACTTCAGAATAACTAATAACTTCTTTTCATGATATTTTGCCTAAGGGTAGAACCACAGTTCACAACACGCAGCTTGCATTAACACGAGATGTCACCTATTCCCATCTACTGAACCCTGGAGATTACATAATCATACCAATTGCATTACCACAAAGCCAAGAATCCAACTTCCTTCTACGAATCTTTCTAAAAAGTCAAGACGATCTAAGGTAAAGCAATTACAATGAGAACATGAATTGGATAAGGCAAAGAAAATCCATCTTTTCCTTCATAATTTAAAGAAGCTAGTTACCATTAAGTGTAGACATGCATTTGTCTTCCAATTGTTTTATGACCAATTAAAACTTTCTAAAAAAAAGTCACTGATGAGATTATTTAAACTATTTAGTACTTGACAATGATATTTGGTTCTTAGGTTTGATAATTGATATTTGACAATATTTAATCCTTGGTAGGAAGTGGTGTTCTACATTTGACAATATCCAATTAATAACACAAAGTAACAAAGAGAATTTGAATATGTTTGAAAGTTTATATGCAATATAGTATGTAGTATTCAGCTGAAGAAGATAATTTTTTTCTGTTATTGATGAAATTAAATCAGTTGCGAGTCACCATTAGGAAATCCAAATATAAATCTTCACATCACATGATACTTCACTCTAATATAATAGTGGTATTGATGATTAAATATTGGACAAGATAATTTGATCTAAGGCAAAACTATGTTATTCTGGGTCCTTTCATATTCAGTTAACTATGTAGAGGCCATTACTAGAGAGTAATAAATGAAATTCCATTGTCTTGATTTATCAGACAATAAAACTTAATCTTCATTCTGGATTTTCTTTTTAGAAAGTCACACTACTTAGGTAGACCTTGGGCCCCCAAAATTTGAGCATCCCTGAGACAAAAGAACATTCTTGTCAAAAAGAATTGTGGAAACACCCATAATTTAGTACTTAGGCACAGATAATGATCTGGGCACTATTGCTTGATAAACACACATCAAGGTTGAATATGATAACATACTACCTTCACCAGATCTGGTAAGCAATAACTAAAAATAGTCTCTCCTGATGCAATTCTCATTTTTATGTGTTTCCCCCCCCCTTTTAGGGAACCAAACACTGGACCCAGTTCAGTGGTGACAAAGGTATGTGGATGTAAAGAAGGGATGGGTGACCTGAGACTCTACAGCTGCGTGTAGTCCCCAAACCTGTCCAAAAGTGGAGTGCTTATTGGAGGCAGCAAACACACAAAATCCATACTTTGAGTAACAGTTTAAGCTCTCAGATAAATTTAAGTTAGATCATAAAGAAATAACAAATCCAAAACTCCACCCAATCCCAGAGGAAAAGAAAGTAGAAAATCATTGGCCCTTGGACACCCAAACGTTGCCTTACCCCAATATAAATAGTGATATAGGCTTTGTAGACTAATTGATCTCTGAGGTCTGGAGATAACTGTCTTGCCTTTGGGCCATTTTCCTGAGGTGATGAGTTCTTACTTTAGATGAAAGACATCTATTATTGATGTACCATGATTCAGACAGTATTGAAAAGCAATTCTAAGTCTGAACCCTCCTGGAAGCCACAGCGGTTAGCCAATATTTAGAGATGTAGAAACAAGGCTAGCACTAGATTTTAGATTGGGGCAGTACTAAATTCAAGATGTTCATGCTGATCTTTAAAGCCCTTTGGGAGTAGTGTACCTAAAGAATTTCTACCTTCCCTAGGCCTGCATGGACACCGCTGTCTTCATCTAAGTGCCATTGCTATCAGAAGTAAGATTAGTTGTTACTAATCGAAGGGTCTTTTAAGTGGTGGCATCCCAATTACAATAATGTTTTCTCATAGAGGCTCATCTAGTGCCTATTCTGATGTTACCTCAGTGCCACATGAAGACCTTTTCTTAATTTTCCCTGGAATGCTGAAGCCTTATTCCAGTGTGATCTTGATTATGCTGATCTCGTGTGTTAGACATTGTCATTACATCATAATGTTTTAAATTGGTTTTTGATCATTTATCAGAGGGTATTAAGCAAAGGCGAGGCAGTATATTTGTCCACTATTAGTAAAATGAAATATAATGTTGACAGCTTACCACTTTGGCAGTATTAAAAAATGGAACTAGTTCTGCTTTCCTTTCTTCTGTTTGAAATCTCATCTTCCTTTTCTCTTGACATGAATAGGCCAGACTGTTTGCCGTGCATTTAATGACACCACTGTAACACTCAAGATCAATGAAGAAGCACTTCACTATTTTATTCTTTTAAATCTTAGATTACTCTGAAAAATAGAATGCCTGGTTGTCCTTGGGCCGTTATGCCATTTAAAACTAATGTCAAAAAGCTACTCCAAATTTACACCAAGTAAAGCTCAAACTTTTTATCATCAGTAGAAGTATTGCAGCCCCCTGAGATAAAGAGAGGTTAAATAGCTTGTTTAAGACCAACTAGAGAACATTCAAACCGTGGTTTTATAGCTATTAAAATTGCTTTCATTTAATTCTACTTACAAGAGTGTTTATGTTGGAAAGGAAGCAAACACTCTTCCCGAAGGCAGACTCTTGTGAAAATCCCATTGATTCCATGGGGAGGAGGGTCATTCTCCACATTGCAGGTGGCCCTCATTTTATACAGGTCTATTACCTGTAGTTTTGCATATCTCAAATTGTTAAAAACAGGCCAGACCTCAGTATTTGCAGCAAAGGGTATAGGCTTTTATATATCTCTATATATCTCTATATATATTCTGAGGGGGGTTACTTCATGCATGAACACAGTGGTGGAAAGGTTTGGGGCATTCATAAAGTGCATATTTTTCAAGATTTCATTATCCACAGTCAGTGGATAATGAGACTGGGATGGGTGCCCCATGAACAATAAAAGCTATCTGTATCACACCAAAATCTATTCGTTTCTTTGTTTATTTCAGTTTGGACACCAGTTGACTCCAACTGGCTGAGTGGTTCACAAATAGTAACATGAAAAGCAATCCTAACCCAAACAAGATAGCATCTGGGCACAAAATGCAAACAGAAAACAAAAATAACAAGCACACCCAAGAGGCCCATCCATTCCTCCCCAAGGCCTGGGAGAACAAACAGATCTTCAAGGCCTACAGAATGGCCACAGGGTGGGAGCTACACATCTCATTCCAAGGGCTGGGTTTAAACATAGTTTGGTTTAACCATAGTTTAATGAAGAAGCCATAGCTGTATAAGCCAAAAACCTTTGATGTGGATGACAGAAGCCTCCTTTTAACCTAGGTTGATTTTCTTTTGTTTGTACCCGGTTTGTTATTCTGCCACCTCTACCCTTCTTTTGTTTTTGTTGTTTTTAGTCTTGATTTTCATGTTTTAAATCATTTGTAAATTGCCCAGAGTTGCTGGGAGTTGGGCAGCATATAAAGTGTAATAATAATAATAATAAAAATAAAAATAAAAATAAACCATATTATGGCTAAGGGCTATGGGTGACTGGGTTTAAAATTGAGTACATTATGCCTATGTAAGTTAGTGATTGCAGATATCTCAAGGAACCATGGCACTCATATTATTTCCTGGAGTCTTGTGAATCCCATATTTGCCCAGAAACAGAAAACAGTTCTGCACTAGCAATGTATAGGGTCCCTCAACTATTGCTGGGGCAAAAAATCAGTAGTGTGAAGAAGCTAGATATGGCCAGTGATGGTTGGGTAGTGCTACATATTGCTAGCTCAGAAATGCTCAGAGGAACAATGGTTGCCAGAAGAGGATTGTTTAAAGCACTCTTCCTGACGTGGCACTCTCCAGATGCGCTGTTTGCATCTCCCTCAACCCTAACCAGCATGGGCAAAGGGAGTTGTAGTCTCAACACAACTGGAGGGCACCAGGTTGCAGAAGCCTGGCTTCACCTGCTTCAGATCCGGTGAGCTCTTTGGTGTTTCATCAGCATTGCAGGGCTTATCCAATCCAAAAGGTCCTCAGCTGCGTATCTCAAGGACAGGATTATACCCAAGAGCACCCCAGGTTTATGGATGCTCTTTTGTCTCATCCCGCTTCTTTCTTGCTCCCTAATCTGGCACTTTCTCCCCACAAGTGACTGCCAGTTGCCCTCCTCCCTGAGACTTGGCTGAAAACTTGCTGTTCCACAAAGCTTTCATAAAATAACATTCTTCCTTTTTGTTCTTCAGCTGATTGCCGCTATAGTGCAGCCTTTTTTCTAGATCATGCACTCCCAAATGGCTTGCGGCAATTTGAAGTTCGGACATACAGGAATGCACAAGATGGAATTTAATTAGATAAATAAGAAATAAATGAGGGATCGGATAATAGGGCTGTTGCTTGTCACCGTCAGGCTTCTGAGGATGGCTGCGCAATGTTGCCAGTTATAAATGGCTAGAAACATCTAGGAACAGAATGAATAATAATGAGATGTCTCATGCGGATTGATTTTTGTGACTGATTTTTATACATACATGTTTTTCTTTGATGCAGCGTATGCTCAAGTGGAATCCAGACAACTATGAAAACATCTTCTTAAGATATGCTTATCAGGTTTGTTGAGTGAAAAAAGTGTGAATCAACAAGGCATGTAGAATTGAGAAAGAGAACTTTCCCATCTTGCTTTTAATCCATGCTTCAGCAATGCAGATCTCAAGCGTATCTCTCAAAACGCTATTGATTTGCTCGTTGTTATAACAAATCAGACAAGGGACCTGGCTAGAACATAATGGATGGTTTGGAGCTGATTGCTTGTGGGGAGAAAGATGCTCCTCAAACAAGCAATTAACCATAACCCTTGGCTACAAATATATGTGGGTTCGTGTATCATATTTTAGTCTATCAAAATTACTTCCAGTTTGTACTTTCCACATTTGGAAAGCAGGCATCAGTCAATGTTTGGGTAATTGATTCGCATTCTTTCTGAGCCAAGCTGCATGTGTTCACAGGAGATGCTCTTAATGGCTTAATAAACTGTTGTAAAGGACTCCTTGACTTAGTCAAGAGAAAAATTGCTGCCAAAAGCCTCTGTACAATAGACCTCTCACAGCTAGCAGTTGTATCAGCACATAAAAGGTGAAAATAGCAGTGCTGACTGTGAGTGGTGCACACAGTTTGTCTTCTGGAGCAGTCAGGGCAAGGAAGGAAGGCGGGGCGGGGCTCCTGAGCCAGGCAAGTCCATGCTGCCAGCCAGATGCTCACAGCTTCTGTGCAGCTGCTGGGGCTCCTATTGACCCTCTCTGAACACACCAAAACAAACCATTCTCCTTTCTTTTCTAATAATACCTGAGAAGCTGCAGCTATGACTTAACCGCAAAAAAGAACAGAGGACTAGAAATGGTTTGGGGTATAGATAATGTAAAAATTCAGTGGCCATCGTATGAATGGAGAAAAGGGATTTCAGCTATTTTCCCACCTCTCAGGGAAACCTGCATGTACATGTAGCAGGGTAAGGGAGAGATGTCATGTTGTCGTCTCCTGCTTAGCCTCTTCCTTGGCTTTCCTAATTTTCTTCTCTGTCCTATCCTTAAAGGAGAAAAAGAGACTAGGTGAGGTATCTAGGCTGGCTGGAGTTTTCCTGCCCTAGCCCTAAGAATTAGACAAGGCTCCACAAATTCTCCTCCTCTAGTTTTCTATTTTGCTTTCCATGCCTACTGAGCATGTAAATTGAACATAATCCTCCTTTGTTGTTGTTTTCAATTATTATTTGTGTACTTTTCCAATTCTTTGAATCTCCCAAGCCTCTGATACCTTTTCCTTGTTTCTTATTGGCTCAATTTTAGCTTAATTAAGAAGATAGTAGTCACCATCTAAGGTCACAATCTAAGGTCTGGTCCTCCTGTCTACATATGACCAGACACACTCGTCTGTTTTTTTTCTCTGTGTTTCAGTTTTGTTTTATTTTATTTATTTTATTATCTTCTTTATTTATATGGAAATAGGAAGCTCATTCAAGCAGCCAGCATATAAGTTGCTGTTTTTCCTCTGCTTGGTAATTTTTAAGGCAACTGAATATTATGAGAAATCTACTCCTTAAACATTTGCTAGTAAAACTAGCTTATTATTTGCCTGTAGAATATGATAAAGAAAACATATCACTGTCTCTCTCTCTTTGTGTATGTGTGTTTCTCAATAATAAATGAATCAAGGGAATTTAGAGAAGAAACAATATCTTCAAATTAGCACATGAAAAGTATGATGAAATCTGGAGTTTGTATCTGCCTCTGACATCTGTCAGGTGCAATTCTTACTTGCATTTTTAAAAATGTTCTTTCTGGAATAGTGCAAAAATAAACAACAAAACTATAAAGGAAACCTAGAAAAGGGGGTAGGATAGAAGGAGTGGCAAAAGAAAAATGTGCTATTGGGCAAGGTTGCCAATTATCCCGAATAAATAAAAAATATTCCCATAGATGTAAAATTAAGAACTAATGTGAGAAATAAGACAATAGTATTTCCGTGCTTCAAGCACTATCTGAGATTGAACCTGGGGTGTTCTGCCTGCAATGGAAGTGGCCTTTTCTCCAATTAGACCAGAAGGATTCATTCAATTAAGTGGATATACCAACAAGACAAATTTCCAAGGAATCACAGCATTTATAAGCATTTTTTTGTGTGTGTGTGTCTGTGTCTTCTACATTAGAATTCCTACTTAGATGCCTCACAGTTACAAAGGATTCTGAATGAAGTTCTCCTGAAAGGTAAAACTCATAGTTTCATCTGCTACCTACATCCAGTTGTGTCCCCTTGCTTTTCTTTGTTCGGTAAGAGGAATAATAGGTACAGGGTGAGCAATATTAACTGGATCCATTTATTCACTACCGTGGGAGCAGTGACTTCAAGCCACCTGAGAAGTGACAATAGAGCTCCTGTTAAATGCATGCCTGTTGCTCCGCAGGATTTGGGCGCCCAGTTTGCTGAGCAGAAGGACATACTGATCATTAGCACTAAATCTTTCAAGCTTCCCACATTCCTTCCATCAGTCCTTTCCAGCTGGCCTTACTTCCAGTATATGACACAAGGGAAAAGAGAAAAGAAATCTCCTTTGGAGGACAAACTATAATGTTCCTTATTTTGGCATGCTTTGCCTACATATGTTTTCCAGCCTGCCCAAGTTTAAGATATGATCCATCTAGAAAAGTTGTAAGACTGGAAACTGGCATTTATTTGTATATCAAATTTATATGGCTGCCCATCTCACAAAAGTGACTCTGGGCAGCATACAACAATTAATAAAACAATAAATGCATAAAAACAGTCATTGTTTAAAAATTGAAAAAACCACAGGCACAAGAGAAAGTATAAACCACAGGCATAACCACAGTAATAGAGCCACCTCAAGATCTTACCAGTCCCCTGCCTGGGACGGGCAGATATAATCAGAGAGAGGCGGTTCCTCAGATAACCTGGCCCCATGCCATGAAGGGCTTTAAAAGTCAGAACCAGCACCTTGAATTGGATCTGGAAGCAAAACTGGCAGCCAATGCAGCTTGCGGTGCAGAGGTGTAACGTGCTGTTCTAGAAGGATGCATAACTGCCTGAGCCACCACATTCTGCACCAGTTGAAGCTTCTGGCTACTCTTCAAGGGCAGCCCACGGGCATGTACTGATTGTAACTGATTCACCTGAATGAGGTGCTTCGCCTCGCAAAAGTACATCACCTAATACAGCATCAAAGCAGAGCTGATCTGTTGCTTTGGTTTGATGAAAGCGGCTTCTGTTAATGTGCAGAAGCCACTTTTAAAAAGTGAATCAAACTTCAGCAGCTGTTCTGCAACTAAGAACTGGGGTGCCATGACATCTCACAGAAGCACTTTGAAGAAGTTCTCCACCTGAACCTTCATCACAAGAAAATGCCTCTTGAAAGATCTGCACACCCCTAATTGGAAATGGGGATTTTTCTGTAATGACATAGATTTTTAGAAGTCTCTGGCCTTTTGGAAGATCTGAAAGATTTATTTGTTCTGATCTCATTTTAGCTGGCCCCAATATTGTCTAGCGATCATAATGCGTTGGTTCACCCAGGCTTTTGCTGGGTAACAACTGTTCCAGGTCCAGAGTGCCTTGCAAAGGAATTTTGCTATAACACTTACACAGTTATATGTTGTATTTTTAGTCTTTTTTATTGTCTGGTTTGTTTTATGTCAGATTGCTTTATTGAAATGTGTATTGTTCTTTTTTCTGTGCATAGCTTTGAGATCCTGCAGGAAGAGTGGAATAACAATAACAATAATAAGAATTTCATTTTAACTGAAGGGTTACCAGATGCTACTTTCTAATTTCTTCTATCTCACTAATTAAGATTTATGCAGTGAATATTGATTTTAGATTTGGTTGTGAATTTTACATTATTGAGTTGTAATCTTTTTTACCCTGAAAAAAAAAAGGGCTATAAATCTATTCAACGTTAAACAAATATACCCACACATTCCTACAAAAAAGACGTATTTCAGGCTGTCGTATTTTGATATAGGAACACGCATATATATCTCAGTGCTGACAATTGGGATTAATACAATGCTAGCCAAAGAGAGCTCATTCATGAGTATTGCTATTGTTGTGAACCCTTCCAATGTTGTGTTTAAAGTCTGTCTAATACTCCAGGGCTACTTGCCTGATCAGTTTAACTCCTTTTGTTATAAATCCTCCTTTTGTCTTTCCTTTTCTGTGCGGTTAGTTCTTTTCCCTTCCGGCCTGTTTTGTGTCCCCCCCCTCTTTCCCATCCCTTTCCACTGTAGCTACCTTTCCCCTTTGCTCCAGCTCCACCCTGGTCACCCCACCCTCCACTACCTTCTTGCTATTTCTGCTGGAAGGAAGGAGGGGGATCTCTCTGGGGGTACTTGTAGGTTTCTGTATTTATGCATGACAGAAAGCATGGTGAGGATATTGCAAATGGGATGATCTATAGGCAATGAGTTCAATGAGTAGTTATTAATTCAAGTAATATAAATTTACTTTGTCCAAAGTGTGACTTCTGGCCAGGATATATAAAGTCATATGGACCCATATTTGTATAAGCATGTATGTATTTATCAGGGGTGTGGAATCTTCAGAACTGGGATCACCTGGAGGTGGCAACTCAAGACAAGGTGAAGAAGCTGGGCATTAAGTGGAATTTTTATTACTTTTATTTTTTCAGTATCTACTCTTCATTTGGGGAATCATCATTCAGGGTTGACATCCTTTGAGATAAATACAGCATTAAGATGTGCCATGGAAAATGGGAGGACTTTGTCATGCTTGCTGATGATGTACCAATAAAAATGAAAATAACACTTAATTTGTGTTAAGATGACAAGTTAGGATTGTCAGGGTGTTACCCTGGAGGAGAAATTTATCAGTGTAAACATGGCAATGACAGAGCACAGTGTATGCAATCAACTCAACTCGCTCAGAGCCCATACCTGAAGGGTGTGGCTACATGACACAACACAAATCACAGTATATAGTAAGGTGCACCATGGGTGATGGTGTGGCTGGTGGTTGGAGTTGTGGCTGGAAGGTTGGTGTATTGTAAGTTCTGTATAGATTGTATAGTAAAAGTCTGTGTACAGTTTTCTACAGACTGTGGACTAGTTATTTTGCAATGCTCACGGAGCGCTGCAACGCGGTGTCTATGCTGATCCCCGACAAGGATAGCTTGTACAGTGTCCCTGTAAGGCAGGTTGGGCAACTGGCAATGAAAATGCACACCCAAGGCTCCAAACCTCAGTGAGGTTGCCACTGAGTTTCAAAAGCAAATCACACTGTTGAATTTTAGTGGCAAACTACTTAAAAGTATTGCCTCTTTCTCTATAATATTTAGATTCAGGGGAAGAAAAGTGAAGCTGACAAATGAAAAATGTCCCAAATGATATCATTTCAGACTTATGGATGACCTTTATATTAATTTTTAAACAAATGTTTTGCAATTGTTCTGTTTATCTTTTTAAATTGCATTTTTAATGTCTTGCACAATTACAAAAAGGATTATATTTGAGAGGACAAGAGAGAAATGGTTCAAAAGAGTTTGTCTTCAATTTTAGGTTTAAAATATTGGGTAAGGCTGGCAAAAGTATGGAGAGATTGTGCTATATGGAAATACTGTCAGACCCTTATGAATCCGTGTCTGAACATTTATGTCTTGTTATTTTAGAGCTAGCCCCATTCTGTTTTGTTCTGGTCTCATCCACGTTTGGAGTCTAGTCCTTAATGCATTACCTAAGACTGAATATGACTATTGTGCCCCTTCTCCCCCCTCCTCAACCCCAATCTATTCCTGCTGTTAGGAAAGCTGTTGTATGTGTATTCAATCATACTCTTTGTCAATCTGTCTTTGATACACAAGGCATGATCCAGCTCTTTCCCAGATGCTCATGTATTTCACAAAATACAGTGTGCAATAATCATGCTGGACTCCAATTTTCCTGGTTCAAGGTAAGCCATTTCAGTATGGCATGGCTTCTAACCCTCTCATTCTTGATATATGTTGCTTTTTTATTTCTCTGCTTATAGATCTAATGGCTGGCCTGGGAACTGGAGATGGATTCAGCTTTGATTCATGCAAAAGCCTTTTAGCTCTGATGGATGTATCTTTTCAACAAATGCAATAAACTTTCCTTATGCTGCCCCTTCCTTGCTTTGAGTTATAGCTGTGGTGAAATTCTCATTGCACAAGCCTGTGAATAACTACTTACCGTAAGATCTGCCTAATATTTATGAAGAAATCTATGAATTGCCATATTCGTTGTCTTTGGGCTTTTCTCTGTGCCACAGATGTTACATGGAAGGAGAAGAAGATCATAATAATCCTCCCTGAATGTCACTTTTTCAGTTCCAGAATGCCCCACCCCAAAAAACCCCAAACGAACAGACAAAAAGTGGATGTATTTGTGCTGATAAATTATTGGGGAAAAAAATCTTAGTATTTAATAGTAAGCCTTATATCTTTCATCCTATAAGCAAGCTTTCATTAGGGACTAACTTCATAGATTGATTGATTGTATATTAATAAAAACTTCAGATGAAAGGGGCATCCAAATTCATTAATGTGACATTTAATCAATCCATTTGTCCTAACAACTTCTCTGAGATACTGTCTCATAGAATCATTTAGAAGGGTCATTTAGACCATCCATCCCAATGTCCTGCTCTGCACAGGAATCTAGCTGAAAGCCTCCATGACAGATGGTCTCTGCTTGAACACATCCAGTCAAGGGGAGGCTCCCTCACCATTTAAAACTCTTATTATTTGAGGAAATGTTCCTAATTTTCAATGAGAATCTGCTTTCTTCTACAACATATTCTTATTCTGTCCTGGGTTGATATAAAATAGGTCTTGGCATTTTTCTACGTTATCTTCTTTCCAGTACTGTTTGTCTGTCTAGTCATTCAGCAAACTTCTGTCCTGCCACAATCAGATGGCTTCAGTCTTCTTTTCATAGAACTCAGTTTTTAGTTCTCTGATCATTGTTCCAATTTATCTGAATGCTTCTTAATATTCAGTGTGCTAGACTGGATACAATGTGCAAAATGGAGTCTGACCAATACAGGAATGCAGGAAATTACAGAAAAAACTATACTTCTGTGGATGTATCTTAAATCTGCATTTAACCTCCTTTGCAGCTACACCATTCTGGTGCCTGAGATATGGTTTGTAGCCAATTACATTTTCCATCACCTTTTTCACAAATACTTAGTAAACCAGATATCCTCCATTCTATATCTGTACATTTGATTTCTTTTTCCTAAGTGAAGAACTTATTTCCGTGTCAACTTTCATTCTGCTATTTTCAGCCCATTCTTTTAATTTACAAACTCTATTTTGAAAAGGGTTTCTGTCTTCTAAAGTATTAGCTATCCCATCCAAATCTGTGTTGTCTACAAAAATGATAAGCATTCCCTTCACTTCTTAATATTGGAGAGTACAGGAACATGTACTGAACCTTGTGGCACTTCACTTGATACCTCATTTTAGTTTAATGAGGAACCATTGATGAGCACTTCTTGGGAATAATTTTTGAGCTAGCTCTGCATCTACCTGATTATCATACCATCAAACCAAACTTAACTAGCTTGCTAATCAAAATGACATGAGGTACTTTGTCATGCATTCATGAAATCAAGATATAGTACTTTTACAGTATTCCTACAATGTTCTAAGGAAGGTGCCAGATTTTTTTTAAAAAAAATAGATAAGCTTAGTCTGGCAAGACTGTTTCTCACAAATCCAAACTAGATTGTTTTCAAGATGCTTATAAAGAGATCTCATTATTAGGTGCTTTCAGTTCTTCCTAGGTATTGTTGTGACACTGCTCTGTAGTTCCCTGGATCCTCCTTTTTCTCTTCTCTGAATAAATGGGCAACATTTGCCTTCTTCCTTTGGCCTGGAATTTTATCAATGTTAAGATTTCCAAAAGATAATACCACCATTAATGGGCCCAGTCATATGCTGGAAAGTGAAAAGGTCCTCAAGCATTTGATCCAAGGTTTGTTGGCTCTGCTTCATTATCACCTAATATGTTGTTCTCAGTGGTTGAGTAATAGGTCTTTTCTACCTGCTTCTCTTCTTTGATTTCCTTCTGAATTGCCTTTATCTCTCTCTCTACTGCTACATCAAATTTAAAGATACTTCAAACAGTATTTGTTGCTGGTACAGGGAAAAATAGACCTCTCTGAAGACACTGGATCCTGAAAATCCCTTACTGTGGTGTGGATTAGGGAGTTGTGCAGGCTTCTTTCTGCTGTTGCAAATCCTGCTGAACTAAACAGCAGGCAGATAGACGGACAACTGTCTCTGGCCAGTGAGGAAAGCTAGAGGGAGCTGTACAGATCAGATATATGAGCTACCACCCATCCTGGTCTGTTGTCTGAGGCATATGGAATTTGTCTCTTAAGCAGTCTGATCCATCTCCTGTTTAAAAACACACAGAGACTTAGCCTGTGAATGGAAAGCAAATACGCCAGGCAGATTCTCATCAAGTTTTTGCTCTGTGCAAGGGGAGGCTTTAGCTCTGAGGTGTTTTGTTTAACATAGAGAGGCATTAAAATATTTTCCCCACTCTCAGTTTACAAAGAATTGTGTCACATGATAGGCAGGCAATAAGGCAAAGATGCAGATTCTAATACTTCTCCAAGGTGAGCTGCAGTGTTTCCTCAGTTTACATATTTATACCTTTGAGTTCATTCATATCAAACCTGACTTAAAACTTGACCACAAATCCAGATCAATGCTAATGGAAAACTTTCACTCCAAGAATTTGAAAGCCTGTGGATAACTTTCAAGAAATATGAGGTACATGTGTAGTTTATTCATGTAGTCTCTTAACTGTTGCCATGCCTATCTCTTTTATCCTCTTCTTATTTTTTAAATTGTTAACAATATATATTGTATATTTCATTTCCCAGCCTTCATATCATAAGAAAAGTGTGGTTTTCCATAGTGATTACATCTAGATTTTTTCCCCTGTTTTACTATATTATCTGAAGTTTAAATATTTTCCAGGATGTATTTAGAAGAGAAGATGAAAATAATGTTGGATTCCTAAATGTTTCAAATTTCCGAAGAGTTGTGCAAGAAACAGGTAGTTTAATAACTTTGAATATATTTTCAGGGAACATCAGTTTATTTTTGAAGTCTGATACATTTTGAAGAAAAAAAAATAAAGTAGAAATCGACAGGGCAGCTTTTTCTCTGTTCTAGTTTTTTAAAATGATACTTAGAAGTCTTAAGGAAAAATGCATTGATTTCAATTTTGTTTTAATTTTCACTAATTCCCATGGAATGCAACTTCAAAATGCTTTTCCTTAACACTGCCATCTGCTGAACAATGAAGGAATTTCAAAAAAATCTTCCCTTTGCAATTCCACATTGGCTTCCTCTGAGTTTCTGAGTTGTAACTGAATTGTTTGGTGGATGCATTTATATATGCAATCCATCATATTGGACAGAAGATGCTACTATACACTAATGTACTTTTAAGATGAACATTTACATGTCTGGATGTACATTAATGACTTCCTGTGTGAGGAAGTAAAAAGGAAGGTGTAAGCAAATCCCAGAGACTAGGAGGACAGATGGCAACAAAGAAGAAGGGAGGAGGAAATAGTTAGTCCTCTAGAGAGTACTATGGTTTTTATCACTAATGTACTGCATCAAGGGAGATGCAAGGAAGGGATTGTGATAATCAAAGCAATACGGTGTGGTCCTGAACGGAAAACTCCATGCTGTGCAGTCCTTAAAGGCAAGCAGCAAACAATATAGTCAATGAACTGAAGAAAAGTTTGCGTTTGCATGCAAAATACTAATACAAATATAGCAAAGTCTGCTTCTTTTCCTGAAACAGTAGAAAGAATAACCCCAGATAAAATTCTTTTCCTGTTGTCCATTTAACAAATTTTGGTATATTCTAGGCTCTTTAGAAGAGAATCCATCAATCCGGTTAACACTGTATATGAATGCTATCTGAGTCAAAATCATTAAAATATAGTACTTGTCTGGCTTTGACTATGGATTACACCTCAAACACCCCACCCCCACCCCCAACCCCAACCCCATCCCCATTGCTTTCTTATGAAAAGAAGCAGAATTGTTTCACTATGACTGATCATTTTCTGGGCATAATCCTAGGGTCTGTGAGATAGTATTCCAAGTACCATAATGCATCAGATTTGGCTGCAAAGGGAAGCCAACATCTGACTCCTTCCTTCCCCTGCTAGATTCTGAGATCAGGTCTTCCTGATATGGAAACTCTGACATTGGGAAGTGTTAGGGTAGGTTGAGGCTGGAGCCCAGAAAAATTTGGATATTGAGGTATGGAGAAGTGTTTAGTTTTGGGGCACTGGCCCAAACCAAAAATTACTGATTTTTATTGTTTTTTTATGTTTTATTGTTACTGCCCAGGGTTATAGTATGTAAGATGGATCTTGTAAACAAACAAGCAAAGATCAAAAAAAGGTACATGGAATGCTGTCAACAAAGTTAAAGGATCTTAAACATCCCCCCATTCCCTGGTTTCACACCCCCAAGCACAGAAAGTATTTAGACAGAATAGACAGAATTCATACTCTCCCAAGCTTGCACTGGGAAAGGAATTGTACAAACCAATAACAGAAAGTGAACTGAGCAACACGATTGTCTTTCACCATCATCTCTCCTATGTTAGGGTACTGGATGACATGAAGCCTCTTCTATCAGAGCGCAGAGAATTTCCAAACTGAATGTTAGGACGTGCTCTGCTGAAGAATTTTTAACGGACTAGATCTAGGCACATTCATTCTTCATTCTTAGATCCATTGAAATCAATGGGGTTTAGTATGACAGGGGTCCCGATCATTTTGATAGGTTATTCTTCTAAATATCATTAAGTCAAAGCCTTTATTTCTAAGCACAATAGCCACATTATGTTCATTATTGGTATTCCTATTTTATACAAAGGAAATTGCCAAGCATGATCCAAGAAAGAGAGCCAGATCACACACCCAGTGATGCTGCAAGGAGTTCTCAGAAATGCCTCTTGAGTGCCTGATATTTTACTAGTAACCTAAATATTTGGGATTCTTGATTAATTGGTCTAGGCCTGTATCCCAGCCTTAGTTTCCACTATATCATGTTTTGGTGGTGGTAGAATCTATTACTAGAACAGGAGTACTGCAGCAAAGTGATTTAGAACTAATTTAAAACTACACTTATTAGTATTAAGCCCTGCAATGGGACTTAGATGGGAAAGATCCCATCTAAGATGCATTGTTTTAAAAATTAAGAATCTCTGTTCTTCAAGATATCCCTTAATTATTTCTTGAAGAAAGGAAAACAATAATGGAGGAGTTAATCATGCCTTAAAAACAATTGTTTCATTTCCGTAGGAGTAAAATAGCTCATGGGTGAATTCCTCAAGATAAGAATCCATCCATTATAATTGGAGTTGCTCCCTTTGTGTTTTTGGCATGGAGCCTGCCCCTTGAATAGCTGCAAATCAAGCAGAAATCTATTCACTGAAGCATTTTCCATCACTGCCTCTCCACTTTCTAAAAACTTTACAGTAATCCTATGGTTTTATTTTTTGGAATTAGTAATCTGTTTAGTCATTCACAGCCTAAGGTAAATATCAAGTTTCAACCCAACTCTTGCAAATCTAGTTCTAAGCATTATTTTTGATAATTCAAATCTGACAATTATACCAGGGATGTAAATAATTCCACCACATATTCCTCTTGGATCAGATTTCAGTTTTTCTCCTCAGAGGAATTTATGACAGAATGAACACCAGCACACCAAAATTCACAAAGAACAGAGTTAGGTGTGTTTACTTTTTAAAAATGTATGGGTTGACTCTCTTGTTCAGTTTGTTTTAATTTTTTAAACCCTTAGCTTGCTTTTAGGAGCTAGGCTGCTGACAGCCTTATTCCATTCTTTGTTTTACTGCTGCTTCTTGGAATTAGCATGTTTTTTAAAAAGAAAGTGCAATAGAAGATGTTACCTAGCTGGGTAAGGAAATGTTTGCAAGAAAACAACCAAGCTCAGAGAACCCCAAGGACTCCAAAGAAAGCACAATCCTAATCTGAACCAATCCAGTCTGACCTGCACATGCGTGCACATGCACACACACACACAAGAGGATGTGTACATTCCTAATTTGTTCAAAAGACAAAATTGCTTTCATTAGTGAATTTTAACTTGGGATTTTAAATTAAAGCTGCAACTTATACCCATGGACCTAGGAATAAACTTCATTGAAATCACCCCAGTAGTTTAGGTTATAATTTTGTGCAACTCCCAATCATGTACTGTATATTGATTTATTTCCAGATTGTGAGCTGTTTCAAACAATGTTGATGTAATAAGTTGCCCTGCCTGAATGCTAGGAGCAGCAGATAACAGTCCCTTCCCTACAGCTGCTGAGCATTGTTGTCCTGTGTCAGTTTGAGAGCGCACATCTTCTTCTGTGGTTGCTTGCAGGCCTGTCTGTCAGTGACAAACTCCTCCAGCTCCTGGTCATGCGATATGGAGACTTTGCCCAGAGGATAAACTTTCCTGATTTTCTGTGCTGTATGTTTCGTCTTGAGACAATGGCAAGTAAGTGGTAACACTCAGCAGGGAGAATGTTCAAAATAAGGTTTTTATGCAACAGTGCATGTGTACAAGTGCATTATTTTTGAGGGGACCTTATCTTGAGTGGGAATTTATTTTCAGACTGTTCATTCTCTACCAACCGTGTGGCCAAGGAATAATGACAGTTGCAATCCAAACTATCTGAAGCTTACGAAGCAGGGGAGGACTGCTGAATACTGTGGTTTGGAAACTGTTCTTGGGAATCAATTACAGGTAGTCCTTGCTTAATGACCATTCGTTCAGCAACTGTTCAAAGATATAATGGGGCTGAATGAATGATAGTTACGATTGGTCCTCGAAGTTATGGTCGTTGCGCTGCTCCATGGTCATGTAATCAAAATTTGGACACTTGGCAGCCCGCCTACATTTATGACTGCAGGGTGCACTTCAGTTCCCTCCACCCACCTATTTTCCCCCATCTCTGCCCTTTTGGCCACGCTACACTCCACTGCCGCCTATCCCTGCCACTTCCTGCTGCCCCCAGCTGACCTTTGCCATCTTCTTCCACTGCTGATGAGGTGTGCCTGGTGTGGCCTCACAAAGGGCCAGCAGCTGCCTTGGCCAGGCATGTGTCGTCATCAGGAGAAAGAAGATGGCAAAGGTCAGCTGGAGGCAGCAGGGAGAGGCAGGGTAGGCAGTGGCGGCGGAATGCAGGGTGGCCAGAAGGGCAGAGATGAGGGGGAGATAGGTGGGTGGGGGGAGTTGAAGTAGAGGTAAGTGTGGCAGGGTGATGGAGCCTCGTCTGCCAATGGGAGCTAGCCAAACCTGGCTGAGTAGGAGGCAGCGGGATGGAGCTGGCAGTTCACGCAGGGCAGGAGAAATGTGAGGTCCTTGCCTAATGATGGCACAGTCCTTGCCTAAGAACCACAACCAGGACTGCTGGAACTGCCATCGCTAAGCAGTGTGGTCACATGATATTTCGCCTAATGACCATTTCACTTAGTGATGGAAATTCCAGTCTCAGTTAGGGTCATTAAGCGAGGACTACCTGTAATACCAAATTCACCAAAGATTTTCAGGATCAGAAAGTACATTTTTCTTGGGTGCACTTGAAGAGACCTGAAAACAGAATGCAAATAGGAGAGCTGAATGAAAAGTAATGCTTCCAATTATATAAGTTGCAAGCGGATGGCAGTACTTTCGTGCTAGAAGCTTTTATGTGTTTCAAGCATCTGTTCTTTCATTGGAATTAGTGGAATTGGTGGAACCTTGTGAGAAAAGGTTGTGTTGCTACTGTTTGTGAAATAAAAGTATGCAGCCAGTTCATTTTAAGCAATATGCTGTGACTGAATGTTTGACTGCTAAAGTATGACAAGTTGTTTATTATCATAATTTTGTTGATATGAGTACTGGGAATTGCTGAGCCAAAAAATGTAAAGATGGTGAACTAAAAAGAGCAGATTTATGTTACTGAGAATGAAGTGGACAGATTGTGACAGCAACTGAGAAGTTTCACATGAGAAAGGTTGATGAACTGATTAAGGACAATCAATGGAGAAATGGCTGTCAAGCTTGGCATTTCACAGGAGCATATGAGTTACATTATTGATGTTCTTCAATATTGGATTTTTTGTGTAAAATGGGTTCCTCACATACTGTTGGAAGAGATGAAAGGTTCAAGAGTTTAAATTGGCAGCCACTGTCATGCTACAAGAATGAAGGTGAGGAAGCTGACAACACATGGGCTCATCATTATAATCCAGAAATGAAGTGTCAATCCATGGAATTTCATCACATAGCTTCACTTAAAAAAAAAAAAATCAAAATCCAGGCTTCAGCAAGAAAGCTCATAGTTACAGTTTATGAGGATGCAGGTGATGTTATTCATGTGAATTTCCTTGAAATTGGCATACTATCAACTCAGAGTGCTACACTGCAGCACTCAAAACTTTGAAACAATGATTAAGCAGAGTTCAGAAGCTCAAGAAGGAAATATTGCTGCAACATGACAGTCCTAAGCCTCACACCTCAAAAGCCACCCAAATGACAATTGTAAAGTTAGATCCCACCATAGTATTCCATCTATAATATAGTCCAGGCTTGGTGCCATGTGACCTCCATTTTTTCCCAAAATTGAAGGAAAACCATTGTGAACATCCATCTGACTCAAATGAAGAGGGAGAAAGGACGAAGTGTGGAGCTCTTTCATGACACCTTTAAGAAGCTTGTCTTTTGTTGGCAGAAGTGTGTAGCATATGACGGTGATTATGTAGAGAAGTAAATATAGGTAACAGAGGAGCTCATTTCAAGGATTATTTTCTGTTTTATTTATTAAAATATTCCTATTTAAACTAAAGTTTTGGAGGTGTAGGCATTACTATTCGTCCAACCTTCATAGAATAACAATCAAGTGTATGATACAATGCTGTTCCACCATCCATTTTTTAATATCCTGACAATGTTCTTGCTTTGTGAAAGAAGTTTCAGTTTTTCTCCTTCATTCTTAAGATATTTTACAGTTGTTTTAGAAATTCTTTTATTGGGGCTGATGAGCTTATTTACAGTTGCAAAGTAATGGATGGCGCTGATGATATTTATTTTGTAATACATTTCTCCATCATTCAGAAGCCGACACTGATTAATCTAAACAATCCTACATGGGGAAAATTCCCTCATGATGGCTTCCCAACTGAAGCATGGGAAATTGGGACATTGCTGACTGCTGGAGAGACAAATGTTAACAGACCATGCACATGTGCACACAGATGCACACACACACACACTCACTCTGTGTAAAATAAATGCAAGAATACGATGGTCCTCTCCTAGGAATTTCACTAAAGTTATCTTCTCCTTTGGAAAAAAAAAAGGAAAGTAACTTCCTTCAGATTAAATGATTAACAGTAACGAAATGCAGAATATTTTTGGCACCATAATAATATTGTTCTTTTCAAGTAAAGAGTAATGAAATACATCCTTGAAACATTTTGATTTCCTTTAAAACAAGTTGTGAAGTATAAGCACCAAGCCTTTCTTTTTGTCTAAAACTACCTCCTAATTGTTTGCTTGTTTTTAAATTTGTACCTACATGGTCCCAACAGATATTAAAATGTTCTCTTGGAGTTTTGATCTATACTCTACAATAAAGTGTAGATTCTTGATCTGTATTTAACCGTATGAGATGAAACTGGCCGGCACAGTGTTCATTAGATTTATATCCTGTTTGTCCTCCAGGAGATCAAGATGGCATACATAATGCTCTCTCCTCCAGTTTTTGCCCACAATAATCTTGAGAGCCAATGTGGTGTAGTGGACCAGGACTAGGGAGACTCAAGATCAAGTCCACCTTCATCATAGATGCTCACAGGGTGATCCTGGGCTGGTCATTCTCACTCAGCCCAGCCTACCTCATAGGATTATTGTGGGCAGATAAAGAGATAAACATTTTGATTTCCTTTAAAACAAGTTGTGAAGTATGTGAAGAGATATGGTTTTCATATGTATTTCCTATGATCTGGACACTGGATACTCTTAAATGGAGTTTTGACAGCTATAGAATCATAAGCAGCAGGGCTTAAATAGCAGTTGAAGTACAAGAGATATCCCACATATCCTACTTATGAACTTCCATCTGGTTGGCTAGTGTGTCACAGAAGGATGAGCCTAGATAAGCTTTTGCCCTGATTGTCAAAAGTTTTGCTTATGTTCTGATGAACTGGAAAATCAGGACAAAAGGAAAGGTGATGTTGCAACTGTGCTATTTCATTATCGTATCTTTGATCTCTCCCCTAGACTGGATTTTACCAGGTAGAACTGCTGAAAACACCCTGAAAAACACCATGTTTTTTTAAACCATAAACTACAAACTACATTATAGGACATTTCCTTTATTTCTTCATCTCACAGATGCTAAAATACTCTTACTTGAAAGGATACGTATTTAATGAAAGTGTCTTAGATTGCCAGCGGGGAAAAAATACCTTTCAAAAGCTACTAAAAAAAGTATTCGCACTTCCAAGCTAAGCACCTAAAATTCACAAATTCTTTTCAGTTACTATTTTACTGAAAGTTTAAAGTGCATTATACGCTGCCTGTGGGGTTTTCTCAGGAAAAGATTATTGGGCTAAATGAAAAGAAAGGCAGTATTCCAGAAGCATAAATCGAGAACACATAGTTAAATAAATAAATAGGCTTTTCTTCCTTGGATAATCATGCTAATAATACCTAAATCAAAATAATCTCCTCTTTTATCATTCATAGTAAATGGAGGAAGAGAAAAAGCAGATTCAAACACCATTAAGACTAGCTATTTTGGTCTGAGAATTCTTGGCTAAGAATTTTCTAAGCCTGCAGCTTAAGTGAAGCCAGTTTAGAACAGTTTAATTAGAACTAGGGAAAAAATTATTCACCATATGATTATAAGGCATAATGCACCTTTTAAAGTTTGGTGCGTGTTCAAATTGTTGCTAAAAGCCGTAAACAACCAAGTCAGCCATTTATGCATGTAATTTCTCTCTTCCCTTGGAGTGTGACACTGTTTCTATAATTTACTTTGATGTTGTGAATTATGTCTTGGTTTTGCACATGTAGATTGGTTCTGACGTTACACACATCAAAGAAAAGGACAACATCCCAAACTCAAAGAAACTGTATCCTTAAACATAGTACTTGAAATAAGTGCTGATTGTCTTGTTTTACATACTGTATCAGATTATAACTTGACTAAACTCATTATTTATTTCATCATTTTCTATTTTTTAATATAATTTTTATTAAGAATTTTTATTACAATAGTAAAAGCTAATACAAACTAAAGTTAAAGAAAAAGAAAATAATGGAAAAAGGAATTAAAAAGTGCAGGAAAAAAGAAAAAGAAAAAGAAAGAAGAAAAAGAAAAGAATATAATATAATAAAGGAAAAAAATATAAAGAAATGACTTCCATCCTTTATCACAAGTATAAACAAATTTAATAACTTCGTTGGATTTGATTTCCCTTCAGTTCTTCTTTATCCCTTGGGAGAGGTTTCTTCAAGGCTTTAACAAGCCTCTTTTGAAGGTCCAATAAGAAAATATTTTCCAGGACATTCTCCGTACCATTTGTATTTCCCTTTTAATTTTTAAAACATCAGTCAGCTGCTTTTATATATCCAGTAAAGCATCTTTTTCCAAATCATTATCTTGGTCTGTCATTTGTAGTTCCACCTTCAGTACTTTCTCTGTCTTGTCAGATAAAATTT